TTAGATCAGTAATTTTATCACTGTTTAAATCAAGCGCTATCACAGAACTTGGACTCTTTCCAGTCTTATAAAATCGTTGAGATTGAAAGGTGCCATTTCCATAACCTAATAACACACTAATACTTCGATTACCTAAGTTAGCCACTGCCAGGTCCACTTTTTTATCGTTGTCGAAATCGCCTGATACTACAGAAACTGGCCGTGTACCAGTGCGAAAGGAACTTTGATTTCGAAACGTACCGTCGCCATTACCGAGCAACACGCTTACACTGTTGTCTTTTTGATTAACGACTACCAAATCTAATTTAGTATCACTGTTGAAATCATTCACAATCACGAATGTTGGCAAGACTCCACTTTGATATGTACCTAGATTTTCTAAGATATTGTCCTTAGTAGTCAGTAATATACTAACACTTTGATCATTTACGTTAGTCACTACTAGATCTGTTCTGTTGTCCTTGTTGAAGTCACCAGCTGCCATATTGGTTGCGTTGTAGGAAAGCATAAATGGTATTCGAGCACGAAAGGTTCCATCTCCATTGCCTATCACCAAACTGATACTGTTTGCTTGGTAGTTAACCACTAACAGATCCAAAATCTTATCTTCGTTAAAAGTATCCGATATGAGAAATACTGGGTTCTTTTCAGTAGCATACTTGACTTGAGTTTGAAATGTTCCATTTCCATAGTTTATTAGTATCCTGATTGTGTTGTCATTTGGATTCGTTAATGCAAGATCTGGTCTGCTATCATTGTTGAAATCAGCAGCTATCATATAAGTTGGATTAGTGCCGATTTGATATTTTACTCCACTCTGAAAACTTCCATTACGATTGCCCAATAGTACGTTAACAGTAGAATCATCCGAAACAGTTGCTACCAAGTCCAAGATACCATCGTTATTTAAATCTGCCACTGCCAAAATATTTGTACCATTACCAACTTCACAACTTACTTGAGTCTGGAATCCTCCATTTTCATCACCAAACAAAACACTAATGAAAGAGCTGCCACTATTAGATACTGCCAAGTCCAATTTCTTATCATTATTAAAGTCTCCCGATACCACAAAGGTTGGTTGGTTTCCAACATCATAGATCACTTGTGTCGGAAAACCTCCATCTACATTGCCAATCAGTACACCGATATTGTTGTCACCTTGATTGACAACTACCAAATCCAATTTCAAATCATTATTAAAATCAGCAGATATCATGGCGATTGGATCGGTACCAACAAAAACCCAATCTTCATATTCAAACGTGTCGTCTTGAAAATTAAGCAATATGAACACATTGCCGTCGAGATTATTCAACACTGCCACATCAATAACCGAATTATTATCAAAATATCCACACAAAGCAGAAATTGGTCCATAACCAACTGTATAGTCGATCAGAAAATCCAATGTTCCATCTTCATTAACATTCAGCACGCTGATAGTTCCATCATATTGATTAACTACGATAAGATATCTTGTCGTGTTATCATTCAAAGTACACAAAGTCACAAAAACTGGACCTACGCCAGTATCAGTTATTGTTGGCATCAGATAGCTGCCGTTCGCATTACCAATCAATATATCAACACTTTGATCTGCATAGTTGAGAATCGCCAAATCAATATATTTATCACTGTTGAAATGACCGTGCACTAGAGCAACTGGAAAGCTGCCTATGTCAGAGATTGTCGAAGATGAGAAAGGATTTATGAATACATATGCTAGAAAAATAAAACAATTCAAATTCATAATTTGTTCGAGAGTTTCGTTCTTTGATTAGCTTATTTTTTAGAAGACAATCAAACATTCGAAAAACATTAATAAATGAGAGAGAATACTGAAATTGAAAAAAATTAGAGAGATGATTCCAAGGATTGAAGTTTCGTATATAAACGTTCTGAATGCACTCATATCCAATACAAAAGTAAAGTGGATAATGTCATATGATGAATTCTTGATGAACCACTTTTCGACTCGAGTCGAATCACAAAAATTTGACCTATATCTGACACTGTGATGAACTGATGACTATGTCAAACATTTTCATAAAATTCTTTTTATCACAAAAGAACCGAAAGACAACAAACAGCATGTAACAGAAATGTTCATTATTTTTTTGCTGAGAACATCCAAACTATTTCCAAGGATACGATTGAATTATTCAATGTTTATAATAAAGAACAAATTGAAATCAACAGTTTCTGTCAAAAATATTGGAGACTTAAATTAAATATTTTTCACAATTTGTTCACAAAATATCTTATTACTATGTTAGAATCGATATGATTTGGATTATTTTATTCTACACATGTTAGATTGAAAAGAAAGAATGAAATTGCAAATCGATAATATAGTGTTTTAAGTTCAAAGTTTTCTATAATATCAATGATCATTCAATAGATGTATCTCTTTCGATTTGGTATAGATATACGGTCGATAAATATCTTCCTGCATGCATATGTGAAGAAATCAGAAAAGCATACTTTTAGATAGAAATAAAGGAAAGAAAAGTATTATATTCGATACAGAACTCAAACAGAATATTTTTGATGTGCACACATATGTTGACTTGAAAAAGAACGGAAGAGCATAAAAAGACGCATACATACGCGGCTCTTTGTTTGCTGCTCGTACTCCAAGAATAGCACCAATAATGGCTGCTACGATGCATATAGTCACCAATAAGGCCAATGGAATAACAATACGCTTCTTGTGATACCATGCACGCCTAGATCATTTGATTAAAAGAAAGATCAGTCAAAAACACAGTTTGATGATAATAAAATGAAACTCACTTGATTTTTGGATACAAACAAGCGCCTAGCAATGAAAAAAAAAGAGTGAATTTATAAAAAATGATTGAACATATTCAAAGTACCTTCAAAAGGAGGTGCGAGTAATGTTTCATTCGGTATGACCTGCTTTAAATGGATGATATAAAGATCAGATGCTGGACTAAATTGTGATTGAACTATCATGTGAGTGCCAGGCAGAAGCAAGATTTCATCTTCAGTAACAAAATGCGAATGAGCACGAATTGTTCGTCCATTGATGGCTTCAACAGAGAACAATGTTCGTCCACCTGTAGTGCCCAAATACATATTATTTTCAAGCACAGTTAGTTCGGTTGTGGTTGATGAAAATGCCCACCATGTCACTGGAGTATCAGGTGGGAATTCAGCACTCAAATTTTTAGTTACTCCTCTCCAGACAGTCAATGGTGGAGAGCATGGTAATTTGACTAAGGCAGTCAAGAAGAGTTTCATATACCTAAAATAGGGTCGAAGGTCTTCACGACTACAGTTCTTCAATGTATAATTAAGCATTGAATAGAGACTTCGATGTGGTGCTGTCCATTCGATCGTGTAAAGTCGGATGGCAGCGCTTTCATCAATTGTCAGTCCATCGGGTGGTTCTTCAGGAGTTTCTTCAAGAGCCATATTAACATAAACCGATAAATCGTGAAGAATATCAACAAGTGGAGCACATGCATCGGCGAGAGGTAACAAAGGCTCATCGGCATACTCAATAAGAGGAGCTTCATCTGTTCCAAGCTTTTCGGCTTCACTTGTAACTTGTTTATTTTCTTCCACGACAGGAGGTTGTGCAACTCGCTGTTTTTCTGTCTCATCATGGTCAAATGTATAATCAACATTTTCATCTTGTGCATATACATGACCTTGATTAACTGTTTCAATTTCGCCTAAGCTCAAAATCGGTTCATGCGATTTATGCATTAAGTCATTAGTGATCTCGAATTTTTTTCGATTGACTTTTTTTTTATGCTTCTTTCGGATATTATCATTCACGCGCTGTATATGTTGGTTTTCCTCGTAGACAGCATCAGGTATTGTGCTTGCTATTTGATTCATGTTTAAGTCATCGAAGTTTACGATCGATTGTTGATCTGATAGGTTGATATATTGTATTGATTCTTGGTTTGACTTTCGTTCATCATGTATCCTCGGTCTTCTTGGTGAGTGGTGGTGACGATGATGATGCTGATGCGGATACTGATGCTGATACTGATGCTGATACTGATGCTGATACTGATGCGGATGCTGATGCTGATACTGATGCTGATGATTCTAATAAAGACAATATTATAGATTCATCAATTCACAGTTTGAATGCACATTTCAACAGAAACATCTCTTTCGAGAAAATACAGCTAGGAATTAAATTCTACATACGCACCTGATAGTAATCTTGTCTGTTATACATATCATAATCATGAAATGTGGGCAGGTTGTCAGCATGTTGTAGTTCAAAAACTTCCCAACCATCGATATTTGTGCTTATTTTATTGTTCGTATACCAATATTCGTTTGATGCTTGATTGTACGACATGATTATTAGTTTTATGCCTGTTAGAGTATTCATGCCTCTCTTATTTTATAACTGCTTACCTTTCATTTGATATGCTTCAATGACTACCACGCTACATAAACATGTTTATTACTTATATAAAATGTAACGTACGATAATTAATAACAAGAAAACGTTTATTAGGCGAAGTTGTCTTTTGCGCATTCAGCGTTGCGAGAAAAATATTCACAATTTGATAATTGTAACTATACCAAATGAAGATATTATATTACCTGATACGCAATATTCACGACGTTAATTTAAACATAAATGTTTCAAGGTAGCCCTATGCTTCGTCTCTTACTTTTCATTCCTTACAATTGACTTCAGGGATATTTTAATGGAACTTCTTCGCATATGAACAATAAAATATAGAGCTTCTAGAGTATCCTTTTCTAATATGTAAATTTCGATAGATCGTACAACTCTATGAGCTACGCTGTCACTAGGTTTGATATTACATAATTATGTCAAACACGATGTAAAAGAAGCGTTGAAATGTATAGCGTAGAAATTCTCGATTCACTTCTTCGTTACGGACGTAACAGATGAATTTACTAATTCATTAAACCATAGACTGAATTTGCTTACTAATTAAACGATGAACCAATTAACTTATCAATTCAAGTATCAGATAGTCAACCAGTCTCTCATTAACATTTCGTTAGAAAATGATTAATAAACTATCATAGGCCTTAACAGACATTTGGTACACGATTATTGATTATATATTGCTAGAATCTCATAAGAATATTTAAAATGCTTCGTTATTGGAGTTGTAGGGAATTATGTAAAAATATGATGAATAAATGGGCCCCAAAGTATATCGAAGAAAACAATATTCACATGGTACACCTACAGTTCGTCCCCTACTATTCATCCCATACTATTCATCCCAATTACAATTCGTCGAATTTACGTTTTGCCCCATTAGATTGTGTCTCAAATTATGACTATGGATTAACTTTACAGCAAATACGGAAAAATAATTATTTAAATAAATTCAATTGCCTATTTTCAAGTTCATCGCAATTCGAGTTAAATATTCTTCAATGCTTTTTACATCATAAAACAGCGATTCTTTTCAATCGTCCATCAAGATATGCATAAATTTTTCTCTTTTTCTTTGGTTATTCACCTCCACGAAGTCGTTTAATATCGATCTCGAACCTAGACTGTTCGCGTAAAATACATTTAGTAAGTTTAGGAATAGAAGATTGTTTGATTGAGACACGATTATGGGTGTGGGTTTTTGTCTCTTCTTTAACCACACTCACACTTAAACCCATCCCCACCCAATACCTATTTTTGAATAACTGTAAAGTTTGATCTTAGTAAAATTATAAGTTCAAATGAAAATAGGACGAAATGTAATGGAGACGAATAGTAAGGAAACGAAATGAGTGACCACCATTCACATGATTAGTAACACCAGCTAGATCGTGTCAAATAGTTCAGTCCCACAAAAATTGGTCGGAGAGCGTTTTTTAACCTCTATGTTTCGGTTTTTTCTATATTTTCAAACACAACACCAACATAACAAAAGCAATACCATTCAATTTCAGCTAATTAATGCTCAAGTTTGTTCGTAAAAGGAAAAATAAATAGACATTACATTTTATAAACTCCAATTCAATCACGAAGAATATCTATTGAGAATTTATTTTCATATGACAATCAACATGGGTCAAGTATGTCGTCTATTTAATTTCAAGCTTAAAAAATGTCATGTAGGCTCAAATAGTGGTGGATATTGTGATGACATTTTCATGCATTTCATAGCTTTCATCATTCCATTCATTGCAGGAATCTTCTACGAAAAAAACAAAGAAATCAAAAAAATCAATATGTTACGAAACATACTCGCTTCAAGTGAACATCCATACTGTTAATGACATTATGCATCTTATTACATCCAAGAATCATACGACAGACATGGGAAAATATTTTGGGTGCATCTATCGAAGATTTACAAGCCGAAAACGCTGCCAATTTCGAAACTGACAACATGATCGGAATTTATATCCGACAAACAAGGAATAACTATCACGCTTTACAACTACTATAAAGAGCAAATGAAAAGTCTCATCATGTATGACAATGACCAACATTATCGAAAAGTCATGAGGGAATATAACAGAATTCTAAAGGATTTAGCTAAATCAACCAACATCACTATCAGCACAATTACAATGCCTGAAATAATGAAAATAATAAAGAAGCTGAAAAATAAAAAATCATCTGAATATGATCAGCAGGGCTCGAAATGGGATGCCAGACCCAACCGATTCTTTTTGCCGGACCAGGTGGGCCACTCTTTGTCGAGCCGGGCCGGTTCGATACTTATATGTGTTTATTTTTGCTTTTACTATTGACTGCTTTTTTTTTAAACTAGACATTTTCGAAAATGTTTAAGAGGAGAGAAAAAACATGTGAGCTTCACATCTGATTAATCTGATAAATAGTTGACGTTACTTGAACTCATCTTTTCTCTCGTTTACACGCAATATTCTACAATACATAAACTGTGTTAGAATAGCATGAGAAAGTAATTAACAGAAATAATGTGTCGAACATATACTGTTATTGACAGCTGACCTCCCACTGACGGTCCGTGAAAAAAGAGGAGTAAAGAGGATCAATGTAAAAATAAAAAAGAGGGAAAGTAGGAGGCTCTTATTTCAACTCTTAAACTTATAAAAAAACACTCAAAGTGAAGGGAAAACTCCAACATGGCAAAACTGATTCCTTATTAATCTCTGTTTGCTATTGGCTTTAAAAATAATTATGTTTCGCTACATTATAATTGAATTAGGGATGTCAAACAGTCTATCGAAGTTCTTTTTATTCTCTACTACCCCGCATAGGATGTTGTAAAAGTCGATTGAAGTTCAATCAATTACTTCTCATCATCTTTCACTGCGTTTGCTTATCTTGTTGCAACTTGGCTCTGTTTTACTTCTCTTTCTATCTGAAATAGTTGCATATAGTATTTTTATTGGGCTAGAGTTTTCTTGGTGCGAAAAAACAAACAAGAAAAAAAATCAGTGTTCACTATCATTTATGAGCCTATACTGTTACTGAATAAATTTATCTATGCTAAGTTTTTCTCTGTACACTTTACTTTTTGATAAAAAGGAGGAAAAAGAGATGAAGTGGGTGGTCAGCGATAGTAGAAGCTGTAAATAAACACTATGTCTAATTCTTCTACTTTTATGAAAGAGAAATTTCGTAGGAAGCCTATCAGTAACTGGAAAAGGCAATATTTGGAATTTTGAGCTTCTTTTCTAAGCAAAGTTTTCCCCGATTTCGATCATAAAGAAACTTAGCATGTAGTAGAAAATAATTAATCAGCGTGTTAAAAATCCTTGGCATTCAAAGTTAGAAGGCTCATCTTTAAATTGGAGGCATCGATAAATTTCCGCCCCCCCCCTCCCTTTTTTTTTGTGCGCGGGCTCGAGTGACGGCGAGGGCGCTTAAGAGTCAAAACTGAACAAAGTTTTTACTCAGAAATAAAGTAATTTTCATGAGTAAAACTCAGTTGAAATTGTGCCATAGGATGTCGAGCAATTTATAGCAGTCATTACCGATTTTGAGTAGCTTACATTGTATTATCTTTGGATTAAATAAAAAATTCAACTTATCAGATTAATTTTATTTCAACTTCGAGAATTTGGGAAAATCGAACTCAAGATATCATCGATCCGTTGGTATTTTGTATCGTGACAGTAGCCTAATTGGTTTCCTAAGTTTTTTGAGAAAAAGAATTTCTTAAACGAAATTTTGTTCGGACCTGGGCCGGGTCTAGCAATTTGCTGGGTCGGACCGGGCCTCTATTTCGTGGCCCATTTCGAGCTCTGAACTGTAGTGTACCAGAAATTATTTGTGACGAGACACCTGATTTTTCTTATATTCTTAAGAAAGTAATACAAACAGCGCAAGTAGTACAGGGCTAGAAGCCAAAGAAAAATATCATTAATAAAAGATATTATTAAAATTATTCTTAATAATATTGCATCCAAGAGTACTTACACTATGACCATTAGAGAAAAATGAAGATATTCAAGCTGGAAACGAAATCATAAACACAAAACTTTCTATAGTTTAATAATAATATATTTTAACAACTTTCTTAAACATTTTTAAGGATATACAGAGAATAAGAAAAAGGAGCAACCAATATGAATATAAACAATAAAGGAGAAGAAATATATAAGTAAAAGGAAAAAATTAAACGATTAGTCTCTTCGACTTGATTTCCTCAATCATTTGTTCTCGAAATTGCGGTATGTTTTCCTGCATGAAATTAATCTGCCATTGTTGTGCAAGATATTTGCCAAATTGACATACAAATACACCACAATCGCTT